GCTCTCGGGATTGTTTATCCTGCCTATCTTATACAGATAGATATGGAAAGAAAAGGGGAAAAGCCTATAAATAGTTCCAGCTCTGTCTATTGACTCTTATGAATGTGTTCCAATCGAGTCTGATGAGGTGCCAAGCCCTGCTCCTGAAGTCTACTTCAGGGATTCCTTGGGGACTTCATTGCTTTGCTCCCCTTGCTGCTCTGGTGCTTTCCCTTCGTGTTTTGCCATGTTGGCGGTGGGGGCGGGGGTGGGATGTGTCAGACAATTCCTGAACTGTGTCTCTCATGCTGGTACCTGCAGCACTTTAGGCCAGTGAAGGAACACATGGCCCTCCAGTCCTTTCTGTGCATTGGCTGCTCCAAGAAGAAATGCTGTCCTCAGGGCGTGGTGAGCCAGGCTTTGGTGGTCTATCCTTCCCTCTTAGTTTGCTCCTGTGTGGGCTAAGCAGACCCCCCACCCCCACCCCAGGCTGTATCTTCAGTGCTGTAGAGTGACAATTTTTTAAAGCACTGACTAGGTACCAGACATCATGCTGGGTATAGAGGTGCAAAAATGTGCATTACCGTGACCTTGTCCTCAAGGATCTCCAAGGCCACAGAGGAGAAAAGCCCCTTACCTACAAACTGGTAAGTTCCAGCAGACATAGATATGTACGCCCCCGGCTTTGGGGGAGCACAGAAGAGAACACCTAGCATAGTTTTGGGCATAGGCAGAGGAGGGAAACCAGGAAGAGACTCATGGGAAGAGTCATTGACAGAGAAGATCTATTATTACAATGTGTTAAGGAAGAAAAGCATATCATTTTAATTCACTGTGGCCAAATGAGCCAGTCTCTTATTTTTATGAAGCCAAGGGCTCTTTCTGGGAAGGTCTTCTCCTGGTAGAATAGTTGGCCTGCACAATAGGTGGTGCTACACTGAATGAGGATTACTCTTCAGCTTTCAGGTCAAGACTGCTTATACTAATTCACTAAATTGGGAAATCATTTTCTGTACTTTAGAAAGTATGCCATGCTTTTTGTTTTCTACTTTACAAGTATATCTTTGAACCAAAATAGTACTGCTGTCTGCAAAATGTCACAACAGAGCATGTGGCTTGCACATGTTCCGTTAGCTCAAGAACTACTCAACTATCTTGAGCACAGCCCAAACAAAACTGGGACTCCCTGGTGCTATTGGGACAGGCTGCAGACATTCGCTGAGCTAACTGCAATTCCCATGATTTTTTTTCTTCCTTGGTTGAGTCTACAAAAGTAAGAGTCTGATGGGATCTTTGAGCACAACTGTACGGTTGAGCCAGACTTTTAACTTAGTCAATGCTTTCCACTTGAAACCCATGTGTTTGAACTAATAAACCATGTCCCTTTGCTTTACCTTGAAAAGACAATGTTTCATGCCTGTTATCTAAAAATTCCTGGAATACAGACACGACCCCAATCTTCTGGCCTGTGTTTTGAGAAGTCACTAACAGCTCCTCTTTCAGGAAAAGATGACTTTTCCCACAACAAAAATGAGAAACAGCATTTGTGTTCCCCTGTGGCCAATGCTGGAGCCAGCCCTTCTTAGTGAAGGCAGATTAAGTGATACTGGTGTAACCCAGATGTCCGTTGAGGTCTCCAAGCTTTGTTATTTAAACAAAATGGACTTGAACTGAGTCTCTGCCGTTAGAAGCATTTTGTCCTCACCAGGTGTCTTACGTGTCCTAGGTTGTCATAACAAAGTTATGCAAAAATGCATGTCTCACATTTCTAGGGGTTAGAAATCCAAATCAGGGTGTTAGCTGTGTTGAATCCTCCTGAGGGCTCCTCCAATTTCTGGTGACCCCTATCAATCCTGTTCCTTGGCTCATAGAGACATCTTCACACGGCATCCACCCCTGGTGTGGATCTCTCTGCATCTAGTCTTCCCTTGAATAAGAACAGAGTCCTTAGTAGAACAGACACTTTAACCCATTGCCCCAAAGCAGAACATTCCTATGAACACTTCCGTAGGCCAAAATGGTGTCAAGCCAAGAGGCAATCACCATTCATTTATATGGAAGATTATCTAAGCTTTACCGGAACCCCCATAGAGACCTCAGGTGACACTTGCATTATACCAGAACCCCAAAATAACCTACCAAATCATACCAAACACCACATAAGGCCTAAAATAACACCAATAAATAGTGTTCACAGACAGTTTAAAGCTGTGATTGTTTGATGCTGAGCCGGTGCGTCCAGTGCTGGGGAGGAGCTGGGCTGCGCCAGTGTAGCTCCCGGGTGTGCTGCCTCTTTAACAGCCCCGACAAGGCCAACACTGAGCACGGGATTCTTTGGTAGCACTCTTTGGTAAAAGTGAAAATCCTCTTTGGATTTCTTCCATTTAACAAAAACAGGTACTAATCTAGGTCTTTTATAAGAGTGAAGTGGTGTAGAGTGACAAAGTGAATTTTTGACAAGCAGACAAGAGATACATATGAAGGAGCTTCAAAACAGTCATGGAAAAATAATGGATTTCGCCCCACAAAGTTTCTGAAGCGTCTTTGTATGTGGTGTGCACCATTTTCCATTTCAACATTTTTTTTAACATACACAATTCAGAGACATGATTTATGTTCCATCTATTGGGCAACCATCAACAGCAAGTGGGTTTTCTCAGTCAAAGGAGCATCATTGCCCCTACATTCAAACGCCTGACAGCTACTAGAAATTCTAGAGCGTCCATAACCCTCATGATGTTTGCTGAAGTTCTATGATGTCACAGTTGAGTATATTGGCTCCCTTACGGATGCCTTTCGGCTCGGCCATTTTTTCCAGTCAGAGTGTCATAGTGAAGTACAAGAAGACTCAGCTCTGGTGCTGTCTGATGACCCGAGACCTTCTGAAGAACTAGAATCACAACTTCTCAGAGTTGGAAAGATATCTAATGGCCCGGTCCAAACCCCAGCCAGCATTCCTGCTCCATACACTCGTCCATTGGCATAGCTTCTATTCTGACATTTCCAATGATGGGGAACTGGCTCTTTTGCAAGGCAATTTTTGTTATCAGAACTCAGGTGTTATCTGAACTTGTCCTGTTTTTCTTTCCTTAGCATTAACTGCCAAAAGCTACCCAAAAGAGAGACTGAAGGCCTTTTCTGTACAACATCCTTCAGAACACTTGCCCTCAGGGGTCTCATCTACCCTAAATCCTGTCCTCGCTGTATTTTTCTTCAGAGGCCCCTGATAGGGCCCAGCATCCTCATTCCTGCCTCCTTCCTCAAGAAGCAGAGCAATCCTCCCCGAGCCAAGGAAGCAAAGCTATGACTAATGAAGAATAATTAGAACACTTACTTTCCCATCTATTTTTCCACTATGGCAGTGATTACCATCATGTGAACTTTTTTAGCAGCCTTTAAAAGAATTATTAAACTTCTGGTGATGAATTTTGCGAAGGTTTACAGGAAATTAGCATTCCAGCCAACAACTCGCATGTGTTTAATTTTATGATGCTGACGGATGATGATGGTCCCCACCATATATTAGCACTCGCCCCACTGCCTCCCGGCGTTTACTCTTTCCATCCATCCTTCTCGCCTATCTCTTCTCAGCTTTATCCCTGGACAAACGCCGCCTTTCTAAAATCTCATATGCCTGGTTGTTCTCAGGGGTTCTAACCTCCCCAGTGTTACGTTTCACCTGATTGGCCTGTCAATTATTGGGCCAAGTGTTGGCCCCAGGGAAGAGTCCGGTTCCAGGCCATTTTTTTTCACACTCCAATCAGGTCCAATCAGGACCTTTTCTTATGATTCCTTGCCAAGCGCTCAGTTGTGATTGTTGGACACCATCTCGCTCTTCCCGTCCCAGAGTTGTGAGAGATGAGGGATTCGTGAACCATTAATCCTTTGGACTCATTGTTCCCCCATGTGTCCTTAATTTTCTCCTTTTTCCTTTGCTTCTGACAGAGAGAGCCAAGAGGTACCCTTGATAGCAGACCTCCAGTTTTCTCACCAAAGCAGTGTGTGGAAGATTCTTTGGGGGGCTATGTGATACCTGTAGACTTTGTTGTCACTCGAGACTCTGGTCCTGAGTGACTCCCTCCCTCCCTCCAAGTGTTTTGAGACAGAAAAGAAGTTTGCATAACTTCACCCACTCTATGCATCTTCAGCACACATGTATACCATATGTAGAAATATCCTGTGTGGACCAATATGTTTTCATAGGTGTGTGGTCTCATTCACCTTCCTACACCTGTTCAGCTTTGGAGTCTATCTACATAGTTCTATTATTGTTATCGCGGTCGTATACATCCTATGTAATAGCATTTACCTTTACTGTTAGCAGTCACTCCACAATCTTGGTGCTGATTAAAAGCTTGTAGTCACTTATAATGCTCTGATCTTGCCCCCCCCCCCGAAACTGTTGGCGAAATAGATATTCCTCAACCTGCATGTGTCTTCCAGTGTGTGTTAATGGAGCAATGTGGATCATGGGTGAGTGATTATCCTCACATTAGCCTCACTGGATTGGACCCTAAGACGCTGCTACTAAGGCTGGTGCCGTGTGTGTGTGTGTGTGTGTGTGTGTGTGTGTGTGTGTGTGTCGCCATGGGAAGCACCATGTCCTGATCAACATGTGCTCTCATCTTCTAAGAACACTCTAATTATAACTGGCTTCTCCAAGGACCTGAAGTGACCACTCTAGTTACTTTTCTAGAAACTAATTTGAATCTACCACCTTCGCTTTTTCAAGCTGAATGCCCTCTCTCGACCCAACTTGCAACAATTAAATAAATACCCATCTAACGAGTTGTCTTTCCTCCCGGTTGATTTGAGCTCTTGGTTTTTGTTTTTTTTAACAACTGAGCAAACCCAATCCCTCTCCGCCAACCAGCGCCCCGCCCTCTGCCCCTGGTGGCCTGGAGTTGAAGGCCAAAGAGGGAGAGGAGGGCTCTGACTAGCACTCTAGGCGGAGAGTGCAGGCTCAGCCTGCCTTACCCAGAGGTACAGCAAAGGGTCATTATAAAATTTGCTGCTGCTGCTGCGGGGCTTGTCAGGTGGCTGCTGGTGCTTCCCCACCGAATTGGCCTTCTCTCCCCCCTCTCTCTGTCTCTCTACAGATCACTTCCCAAGAGGAGCCTGCTGCTAGAACGTTTGTCATCACAGCTCAGGAAGTTCCTTCACACAGAGGGTAAGGAGCTGGGCCACCCTCACCAAGCCCTGTCATGTAAATTCTGGGGTGTGTGTGGGGAGTGTTGGGGTGTCTGAACTCTTGTAGTTGTGGCTTTCTTCTATTGAAAGGAGAATAACTGGGCCGTTTTGCTCATGTCCCTGACTGGGAGTTGGATGCCAGAAAACATTTTCTTGAAATCTAAGGAATGGGATGCGTTAGGAGAACGTCACATGAAGAGAAATCCAAGAGAGTGAGGCCTTTTTTAAAAGGAAAATTAGTTCCAATTTTTAATAATAATTTTAAGTATCTAGAGCATGAAAAAACTTTTTTTTCTTCTTCCATAATGTGTGTAGGGGAGGGGAAAAGAGAAGATAACATTCTTTTGTTTTGTTCACAAAGTTTAGATGGCCTTTCTTTGAAAAAAACACTTTAAGGCCCATGTAACCAATTTAGTTTGAGTAAGTTGAAATAAACCAATGGAATTGTGAAAGATAAGATGCATTTTTTTAAGTTTACATAAAGTGCAGTCAGTTTTAACTAAATTGGTTGCAGCAGAATCAGACAACTATGAATTTCCAGAAATAAAACTTATTGGCAAAATAGAAATCTAACACCCCCACCCCCACCACCACCCGGCCCCCACCACACACACACATACACACATACACATACACACACCAGGAGGGAAAAGAAGACTTTGAAAAAAAATTGATAGAGACTTGTTTCTGCTTTGACTGAGTACACATGAATATACGGATAGTTGTTTTATATTTAAAGCCATGTTGGAATGAAATGACAAGATGGAAAACCCCCTCTGGTTGGACTGGACTTAAAATGGCAAGCAGCAGAAGGGGCATGTTTCTATTTGCGGAGGCTGCTCGGAGGCGCCGGGACAGATGCAGCTTTTGGAATGTGGCAGAGACTCCGCGCGAGCAGCTGATTTGCCTCTTTGGCAAGAAACCATTCTGGGATCCCAGTTTATCCTGGCCAGAGAGTGACAGTGACACTTCAGCACACATGGCTTTCCAGCTTGTCCTGTGCAGTCTCCCAAGGAGGCAAGAGGGACTGGGGGATGGGGGGTGGGGGTGTAGAGAGAGAATCAGGACATGATTTTAGAGATCAAAAGATCATTTTTTCTCCTCTAGAGTCAGTTCTAAAGAGCTGTTTCTCTTGGGATCTGCTTCAGGCCAGAGGACCTGATTTCAGCAGAGTATTTTCACATAGACTTGCCCAATCAGAGACCAGAGTAGACGTCAATACCATTTATTCTCAATGCTATCCCTAGGTTCAGTGGTTCTGAATTGATTGTGGCATTAGGCCTGCTTTGAGAACCTCACAAAAGCTCGGGGTCCATTCTGAAGAAAAACACACATACACACAAAAGCCCATGTTTCACCACACCCCAGATAGCTCATGGATCTAAATGTTCCTAAATTTGAAATTCGAGATGTGTCCTTGAGTGGATTCCAACCTACAGCGACCCTATATGACAGAGTAGAACTGCCTCCCGCAGAACTTCCTGGACTTGATCTTTACTGAGTGGAGCCCTGGTGGTGTAGCGGTTAGGTGTTCAACTGCTAACCAAAAGGTTGGCTGCTGGAATCCAACAGGAGTTTGCAAAGACAGTCAGCTTCTGGAATACCTACTCAGAACCCCTGCAGGGCAGTTCTACTCTGCCCTACATCAGAACCAACTCGATGGCAATGGCTCCGCTTCACTTTGTGGGTTACTCTTAGATGGCTTCCCCGTTGCTTAATCTTTTCTCCCATGGAGCAGCCGGCAGGTCTGAGCAGTTGGCAGCCAAGTGTTTCACTGCTTGTCACTGGGGCTGCGTTCCATGGTGTGTTGATACCAAAAACACTCCATTAGTTACCTGGAATCCAATACAACTGGGAGTCCTGTGCTCCTACTTACGAAATCTAGTAACTCAGACTAGACACACAGATCCCTGTGAAGACCCCTGTTTCAGGCAGTTCATCGCTGATGGAAGGCATACTTGGTGGGGAGGGATGCAAAGACAGGCCTGTACCAGCAGGGAGGCAAATGTGTTCTTAACTCTCTGCAAACGTTTATAGCTGGAATGTACACACCTTTCCATCTGACAGATGATTAAACTGAAGCTCGGAGGGTTTATCCACAGTCTACCAGATGGCGAGAATGAAATGAATCTAATTTTTAATTCCATGACCATCAAAGACACATCAGTCCAGAAAACTCAGTTCCAACTCATTGCACTTGTGATTGAGAATGTGACGATGTATATAATATAGCGCGCGCGCGCGCGCGCGCACACACACACGAATGGAAAAGTGAAATAACTACTTTACTAGCATTTCCAACAAAACCAGAATGGAAAATAGCAGAGTCCTCATTTTTGTATTTCAGGCTGGGAGACTCTTGGAATCAAAATTAAATTTTTGTATGAAATCTATAGACTTTCTAGGTAAAAGTCAGGCACAAGCCTCTAGCTACATTGAACCATATAAAATAGTCAATGTCGAAATGTTTTAAAACAAACCCAAAAGCAATTTTATGTTTACCTAAAGGGAATGTTTTATGACATTTAAAAAGAAATGTTAGATTTTTGATCAACAAATTCACACAAGCCTTCCTTGAATCTATTTCTATTTTTTGACTCACTTGATCTCTTGGAAAGAATCCCTGGTAGCACTTCACTTACCCAGAGGCTGGCGGTTCAAACTCACCAACTGCTCTGAGGGGAGGAAATGATGCTATCTACTCTGGCACAGTCTCAGAAACACCAAATGGGGGGGTCCACTCTGTCCTACAGGTCTCTGTGAGTCAGGGTGGACTCACCCCAAGGGGGTTGGCTGTTTGTTTGCATCTATTGGACTTTCATGTCAGTGCTTTCCCAGTAGAATCAGGAAATCCGCCAGGTCTATTTGTCATAGAACAAAACGTTTAAATAGGCAACTCTTTCATTTCAGTTTATTTCAGAACCACTGCAGGTTCTCCATATCCATTTTAGAAACCTCCATTCCACTTCACTGGATCTCTACCTTCTCACGTTGGCAAGAGCTAATTAGTTCCGCTTCTACAGATTTTAAGCTACCCTTGATTTCAGGAAACAATAGAAGGTGTCAGAACTCAATCTGGGTTGGGAGCGTTCCTTCCACCGCACACTACCTGCACACTTGAAAGAACTTGGGCTCGTGCTTTCCTCTCTTAACCCTCACTTCCTCCTTTAAAAAAAAACATATTGCAAATGTATAACCACCCTTGAGGATGGTAGTAGTTTTTACAATTTTAAAGATAAAATCATGTAAAGTACATGATTTTACATAAAGCCACTACATAACAATCACTCAATAAAGACTAGCTATGTAATTATTATTTTAGATAGAAATGGAGTGCCAGCTTATACTTAATACATGTGATAGGTAGGTTTATTGTGCCAACCTGGCCGATGAACACATGTGGGTTTAATAAGGTCACAGTTTAATTGGTGTTTTATATATCTATCTATATATAAAATCACAAGTGTCCTGGTTTTGTTTCTCTAGTCTAGAGAACCCTGTACACAATACAGAATACGGATTCATGCTTGCTGATTTATCTCTAGGAATTGATTGTCAATGTGCTTAATTGAACTTGACAAATACAAAAGATAATGAACCATGTGACCATTTGTATCACTTACACTAGCTAGATATAATACCTGACACTGCCATCAAAGAAATGCCCCAAGAGCTGGCATCTGCAGTAGGCGGTGGGGAGGAGAGGATGTAATTTCCACAGTCACCCTACTGCCCAGTCTCTAATGCCCAGCTCCTTTCCGGGAATCCAAGTTCTGGGTGATAGTGAGTGGGGCAGAAAGGAGATGGGATTCTGTGAGTTCTTTCCCTGGAGGAAGGGATACCAGCTCTACCCCCTGCCCCCTCCAATGTCATAGGGACCCTTCCACAACTCTCATTCACTCTGCGAACCTTCTTGACACTGAAAGGGGTGGAAGAGGAAGGGACTGGCAGTGCCTCTAAATAGCAGGTCATCTCATTACACAACCTCAGCTGCTCCTGCTAGGCCGGCTCCTCTTTCCTGAATTTCCTACTATGGTAGAGCCTGTGTGAAAAGTGCCTAACACTAACATTCCCCAGGGTGGGGGTGGGGGGGAGGAAACTTATATGAATGCTCCTGGGAAGGAAGGGAGAGCCAAACCCATTGTAAATCAGGAGAAATGCAGAAACAGCTTTTTTTTTTTTTTTAATGGGCAGCTTAGCAAGAATATACTCAGCAGGCAGCCCTTGAGGCTGGGATTCAAGCGCTCCCTTAGGTCAGCTAATCAGAGTGACATCTCTGGCTACCACACCTGGGGAGTCCCTGAGCAGCAGGTCGGAAGGCAATCACTCCATCAAAAAAAAAAAAAGCCTTTAAATCAACAATAAGTAAAACCCTCACTGGAAATACAGGGAATCCAGGGCGGATGAGCCCTACAGGACCAGTGGTGTGAGTGGCGATAC